ACACATATAACTATATTAATACCCCCGCTTTATGTCCGTCTGTTGCGCTTTTGGGTGCCCATCTCTTATCCACAACTCTTCTCTTACCACTGAATGAAATTTCACAGAATCTTTAATAAATATAGCCATTGAGAATTAACTTACTCATTGATCGGACTCTTATTTGGGGTTTTACATAGCAAAACATGGACACTGTCATTATATTCCTAAAGAAGGCGGGAGATTCATTAAAATTGTCTATTTTGATTTTTAAAAAATCTTTTCCCCACTTTTTTTTTTGGGGGGGGGGGGGACATCGGTTTCAAAAGCACAATCATCCTCTTTCTGGTAATTTTCTACATTTAAATTACAGAAAAAATAATACATCATAAATCCACAACTGTAGGTTTTTTTTTATTATTATGTTCGAAGAGTCTTTCTTATTTACTCCTCTTCCACAAGTGTGGATCTCGAGGGGATCGGAGAGAGGGTTCATACATGTAACCTCCCGAATTTGCAGAATATTCAAAATTTAATGAACAGAAATGGAGGCGAAGGTAATTATTTTTCTAGGTATCTGGGACAAGTGAAGTCCCCAGTGAATCTAAAACGCAACCCGGAGGGAGTCTCATATAGACAATAAGAGATTTTTAAATGGGGAAAGTATTACTTTTGTTATATCGATGTAACACGATGATTATTAAACAATTCAAGAAATGAATTATTCCTAAAATATTTTTTTCTCGGACAAAATTAATATTGATGCAGAAGACATCTATCTTTATTTTTTCATGATTTCGTCTGAAAAAGTAAATCTCACATCCTCTGAGATAATCTGAGCTCACATAAAGCACATATAGGATAACAATATACATTTTTTTTTAAATTTCCTGCATAACTTACATTTTAATGAAAAACAAATAAAGACTAACTGTAAATTATTTTTAAAGACAGAGATCATACAAGCAGAGAAGTTATGTAAGAATACCTTTGTAGTAATTTTTTGGAATCTCTCTCTCTCTCTCCTTCTCTTTCTCACAATCTCTCTCTCTCTGCGTACTTGGAAAACGGTACATCAATTTTAAGCTCTAGATAGTAAGGAATTTTTGTCTATAATTGTATGAACCTGCAGTCAAAAACTAGTATTCGAAATTGTTTTCTGAACCTTTGTGCCATTTTAATAAACAATAATAATATTATAATGAATCATTTGAATTGACAAAAATTTAATAGACTTAGAAAGGATTGTCTTACGTGTACATTAGTAGTAGATATGTAAAATTTATTTCTTGACTCAATATGGGTACATATGTAAACTTTTTATACATTATTTTTGCTTGCAAGTATACATTTCTTAGAAAAATAATTTTAAAAAGATCTTATACTGTCTCAAACTTAATCATTATTATTTTTCAGTAGAATCGGTATGTATCAAAGTTTGAAATTTATTATCAAAGGCGAAGGCATGAATTTGTTTCAATTTCGGAAAGAGGGGTGGGGGGCTGTAAAATTCCAAAATAAATGGATTAGCTTTATACAGAAATACATGCATATGTATGATCATTTTCTTTCTTTCAATGTATGACTTTTATTATTGAAATTTAAAAAAAAAAACGAAAATCGATTTCTTATAAAATGCATATAACTCCTACATTACTCCATGCATGTTTCAATCAGTGCAGATATTCATTAATCTATAATTTGTGTTACTCTGTACTTTGACGTGCTACAGTATTCGTGTGTACATTATATGTTTTAACACAATGGACAATGTTTATGTTTTAGCGCCTGCGCAATGCTGCGTTGTCAAGGACTTAGTCCTGCGACTAAGCGTATCTTTTACGACAAGACTTACGCCACTTGGTGAAACGCAAATTACGCCCGACTAAATTTTGGCGTAAGCCCCGGAAGTACGCCTAAGTTAAGGCTTAAATCTACGACTTTTGATGAAACGGGCTCCAGCAACTGTATTTCAAAATTTTAAGTAAAAAATTGAAAGTAAAAGTACAAATTTTTATTTTAAGTGAAAAATTGAAATTAAGAGTACAAGTTTTAATGCATAATCTTGAGATAAATATTAGCCATTTTTAATTATTTTACATGTTATTTTTTTCTTATAACGAATAAAATAAAATTGATCACCGGAATATTAAAATTTAATACAAAAAATTCAATAATTACTAGTACATCTTTAATTTTTAAAATTTCCATTTCCGCTATCAAATACATTATCTTTAAATTTTAAAACTTCTATTTCCGCTATAAAATAATATCTATAATCACAGACTTATAGAAATATAACTGCTCTTCGACTACAGTCTGAATAAATGACAATGAACAGAACTTATACTATACATGCTACTTCAACTTTATGATGTTGTACTTATGATATATACTAGTAACTCGACAGAATGTTTGTTAAATCATTGTTGATTAAAAGACTTGGCTATTGGTATGACAGCAGGATTTTGGAGGAAAAAAACAATGTTCATCACTGGATGATAAAATCTACTTTGAAGGTCACTGTATTTTTGTATTTTTGAACAAAATTGCAGGCAGCGATGAAGCCTTTACAGGTATGTACCTTGTGAGAAACAAGATGTACATGTATATTGGTCTCTCGTATTATTGCGTACTTAAACGTTTAGACGTTAAAATCTTAACATTTGATACATGTAGCTGACATCTTAAAATGACGAGACGACTGACAACTGTCTTGTCTCAACTTATTAATATCCTTAGCAAATGCTCTCTACAAAAACATTAATTGCTGTATAAGAGAAACTTAGGGCGTACAGTGCTATAGCATATTCTAGAAGTGATGTAAATCAGATGTGTTAAAAACACCAAGAACTTTAAAGAAACTTTAAAATCGCCAGATTTTTTAAGAGTATAACATCAATACTTATGACTTTTCTACACTTTACATAGCAATTCGTCACGATAAATTAAAATCTGGATTTTTTAAATTTCATAAACAAATGCTTTTTCAATAAAAAATGCAAAAAATTTCCACATCTTGTAATTGCAATTGGTCATCAGGAATATTACTTCGTTGAAACCACTCTGATTGTACACTTAAGTACTCCTAAGTTGATATTTAAAAAAAAACATACTGGAGTTCCTCGTTGATAATTTTTTTGTAGGTTTTGGAGAACTTCTCCAACAAACTGTTTTGATATTCTTATGACGCAGAATATATTCAGAATCCTCTACTGCATTAGAAGTGGAAAACTCTTATTTGTTGTGGCCGTCAGTTTGACATTCAGATATAAAGATAGTGTTTTATCAGTTAACAATAATTTTTTCATTCGTATATCGACTCTATATATCTCAGTGAACTTGAAATAAAAGACAACACAGAGTCTGCCCTGTTTCATATTTGGATGAATTACGGACTATAGACGATAGAGGCAACTAACAACTAAATCGTATGACGAGATGAGCTTTTCGAACGTCAACTTTCTTTAATTATGTGATAATATCTCCCTATCAACTGCTTTGTGGTATTTTTGTCTTCAGACTTATTTGCTAGAGCTTGCTCTGCATACGGAACAATTTTTTTCAGCGAGGCATGCTACTCACTGATAAGTTTATGCTACGGGGATTTCATTGTCTGCAAATCTGCATTTTGGGAATTCTATGGTCGTTTTTATGACCTTGTTAGCAAATATAACCTATCTGTCTGACTTGTTTCATACCAATTCTTCGGTCACTGTTTTTATACTGAATCAACCTAATCAATACATAGGGCTCAAGGCAGGTGTGACAGATCAACAAGGATGATTACTCCTCCCGGGCACCTGATCCTACTTCTGAGATTTTCAGGTGTCTGTATTTATGCTCTCTTATCATATTTGCATTATATATAGATTTTTCACCGTTCACTGTTCGTTATTTTTACCTTTTATTCAGACTTCATACTTAAATAGTTAAATATTACATCGTATTACAGGAAAAGCAAATACAAAAAAAAGTTTGAATACACATTCTTAATAGGGCGAGTTTGGCCAAACCAAATATAGTTGCCATGTTTCATTGAAAACAGTTATGTCAATTAAGAGGACTCACTAAAATTAGCTGACTTATCTGAACACGATGAAGGATGAGAAGATTCAAGCCTTCCTAAAATATAAGAAACGTGTCATCCGCGTGACGCAGTGGTTAGAGCGGCTGCTCTAGAGTCGCCAAGTAAGGAGTTGACCCTTACGTCGCGGGTTCGAATCCCACTGTGGGACGTGGAGACTGGTCCTTCGGATGAGACTATATAAACCGAGGTTCCGTGTCGCAGTAGGTGCTGGTACGAAAAAGATCCCTCCCAGCTCAATGGCCCTAAGTGCCGAGTATAGGACAAAATTTGCAGCTCTCCACCGGCAAGTGGTGGCGTCTCCATATGAATGAAAAATTCTTGAGAGGGACGTTTAACAATATACAATCAATTAATATAAGAAACTTCATTTTTTTCGTAAATAAGCAGTTTATAGAATCCTTGAGCATTTTCAAATAATAACTTTCGTACAGGCATTTTATATATGTATTCCTACGGCATCAAGATTAATAAAAAGACTCAAATTATCCATTTTGTACCTAATTTCATACATTTTTGGTTGCATGATATCCTAAATCTCCTTCAAACCTCACCCACATTTAGTTCTGAAAAGAAAAATACCAACACTTCTTCTGCAGATTGGCCTGTGTATTCCTTAGTGGTCGTCATTCAACTAGCTGATGCAAAAGATTATGTTTTATGAGTATCGAAAAGAATTTGATTTTTTCGCCAACTTTTTCATTAATCTAAAGATAAAACTTAATATTTTCGACACAAATCGCATTGTATAATACTTATAAATAATACTTTTAAAAACTTGTATGAGTCAACATGCCAATAGTAAAATTTTTGCTTGAATATTGATTTCAAAAAAGTAAAAGAATTGAAATTGAACACTCTCTTGTAAACTAGTTTTCTTTTCCTCATAGATGTGCAATAGGCTTGCCAATGAAATCCATGTAGTTCTTTAAAAGAAAAAGATAACGATGACTTTTCCTTATATTTATTACATGTGAATACATATTTCATTTATAAATGTAAATATTTACATGTACAAAGAATATATGCTCGGTGGGCCTCGCTCGACATCTCAAACAACCTGTTTAGACAGATCAATAAATTAAGGGAGATTACTAACATTACGTATCACTGTTAAAACTAACATTTCATGATGTAGAAAATAAGAAAATTAAAGTCGCACATTCTTTTCAATGAAAATATTAAATAAATAATAAGAGTTCACTATTCTTTTCTATCAATGTCTAAATGTTAGGTACATAACTACATATATGTCCAAAATTTTAAAACAGTTAAGTGTATAGTAACTTTCTATTAAAAAATATCTTCAAGTAAAGCCAACCGTAAGATCTGCATTATTTTCTGTATGCAAGTCTTTCTACTGTGTTGTCCTCCATGAACTTCAAAGGGTATATGGGCGACAGCTGATTAACTTTAGAAGCATGCTCTGTTTCCTTTGTTTCATCTAGAAAGTTACATGTAGATCTTCATATTTCCTCTGTACTTTAAGCACTGGTAAACAAAAATGCTACACGAAAACATTCAAGAACAGGACTGGAAGAAATGGCTTCATTCTTAAGTTGCATTTAGAGCATGCACTGCTTGAAATCACATGACACAACAACACTGATAAGTGTCCGAACGTTCATGGTGATTCTTGTGACGCTAGAGCACTATGACTAGAAACGGAACCGGAAGTTGAGGGTGACGCAAGCACATTGGCGCTACTAGACACCTGATCTGCGTCATCTTCCTCAATGTCGATTCTGGGAGAGTCCGTGCTTCTATCACTCATACAATCACTATATGCAGAGTTTGTGTCCTTTGTTTCACTGTCGAGTGATTTTTTTGACGATTTTTCTTTATCATCAACTGAATTTCCCAATTCGGCTGTTCTCTTTGCCGCTTCTTCCTCGCGTTTTACCTTTCTCCACTTTGCTCTCCTGTTCTTGAACCAGACCTGGAAAAAACATATTTACATCATTAAATGGGTTGTTTAATCAGATATGCTGCAAATTCTATGATCGGAGACCTTAATTTATTGTCTGAATACGATTACGTTGACGTTAGAGTTGCATTAGGAGACGGATAATAGCAATCTGATGGCTGATGTTAAAGCTTGGAATAAAGGGATTGTTGCTTATACAGGCAGCATAAAGAATGACTTGTGTCATCCAGTATCTGTAGATCGTGCAGATTTCATGAAATTTTCCTACTAAATGAATTAATATCTAGTGACGGGAAAAGCATCGATCGTGGCGTTGGGGACGTTGGCTTTTTGTGTCTTTGCAGTTCTGCGTCTGATTTTTATCTTATTTTTGGTATTGTCGATAAAAAAGGGCCCATGCGGGGATAGAACAGTGTCATGTAGCGTTCACGTGTTTTGTGCTCTATTTGAAGTGATTTCACATCATTGACTCGCGCATTGACGGGAGATGGGAGTTTTACACCAATAGTGCTAATATAACGCATGTACTCACAACTTTATGTCTCGCATGGAAAAGTGCGTTTCTGATTTTGCTTTGAAAAATAATACTTGGATTAGAAGCCGAAGAATGGTTGTCGCTACCATCTCACTTTTGCGCCTTTGTATAAACAATGAAGTAATTTTATGGCTTATTTTCTTTGATCTCGATTCTGCTTCCATAAAATCTGTAGTTGGTATGCTTAAGTATGCGAAAATAGTCCCTCGCTGTCGTCATTTTCTAAGGCTACAAAATTACTCGCAGAAAGGATGGTCCGTAATTAAAATGCAATTCCGTCATTGGTTCAGAATATAAACAACTTCCGGTAACGTTTGGACTTAAATACTCTTAATGTGTTAAGTTCCTTTTAAGAAAAAGATATTACATGTTTGCTTTCAATTTAACAACACATTAAAGCACGCACATCACAAATGCATGGTGATAATTTAAAAAAATAATCGCCTGACACATAAAATAGAGTTGGTGCACACTGATAAATAAATTTGCGTAAGATTTTGTAGGTTTCTGGGCATTTACGACCAATTTAGGAACGCGAGACCGGTCCGATAAGCGTTCGTTGAATTTCTCAGATATCATCTTTAATCTTTCTTCTCGCTTTGAACATATTATTAAATAAATAACCCAGAAATTCAATTCGGAAAATAGAAAAAGAAAAGATAAAGCCGAAGAAGAAAACACCAGAGTGATAAAATTCGTTATTGGAAAATGATGACTGACTGATTTACTCTGTTATCAGATGAAGTCTCTAAGTTTTTTCTTTTGATCAGAGGGCGAAAAGTTGGGGCAGAAGTTATGGGATTTTTCTACTTCTCGATATTTATTTTGTGGGAAAGTGATAAAAGTGTACAGAGGCGACTCGCGTCTTATTGCCGATAATAGAAGAGAAAGACCAATATCAAATTCACACTCAAAATGTTATCATATTTCATAAAGAAACTTTTCCTTCTAGTACTTTCGAATATATTTAAGATGGTTCAATGCATTATTTTTTTTTTTATTATAATAATTTTTTTTTTTATAATTTTTATATTACAAATGTGTGCCAACGTTATTAGATATTTTGCTTTATTTTAGGTCATTGTTTGGTACTTTGTGTTGTTAAAAATGTCATCATTTTTTATACAACTTCATTTAACAAATTTTCGAAATTTTAATATGTATATTTGATATAAATAATTTAATTTCAGAAAACAGAAATAACCTTTACGCTTAATTAAATTCCTCAAATTAGGAAAAGGTGATACCAAAAAATGGATGTCATTATTGGTATATTTTTGGACCTGTTTTGGTTTTTATTATGCATATATTTTAATTTAATAATCATAAGAAAATTGTAAACTTTCTATATAATGCTCAAAATTCTACCTATCTGCAAGCATCCTTTTTTTCTATACAACTTTTTGTTTTTGTCACTTTGTATCACATTATTGTGAGATTAAAATCGAAGCGCTTATATTTATTCATTTTATTTATTTAAAACATGACCTGAGATGTTATTTTGATGTTGTTTTTTTTTTTTTTTTTTTTTTTTTTTTTTTTTTGTTGGATAAATTCTTGTTTGTATCATTTGTCTTTAATTCCTGATAATAATTACCTCAACTCGTTCTTCTTTAAGATCTATTTTTATCGCTAGTTCCTCCCTCAACAGAACATCCGGGTAGTGAGTTTTGTTGAATGTCTTCTCTAGCTCCTCCAGTTGCTCTTCTGTAAATATCGTTCTGTGACGTCGTTTCCGCTTTTGTCCAGCGCGCGCTAAGTCTGCTGCTGTCATCAACCCAGGGAAAGGACTATATGCTGCTGCTGCAAAATATTACAAATGAAAGTAGAATATTTTTGCACCAAAAGTGTTTCAAATACTTTATACTGTACGTTTAGATTTTTAATCCTTTAGGGTCTATATGTTTACTTATCATATGTGCATTTATTACATGATTGCTGTAAAAAGTCAGACTGAATATATCTTTGCTGAATGAAGCACCAAAACTGTAGTTTTTTTTCTCTTTTTCCTTCTTTTTTCTTGCTTTGTTCTCTGTTCCTTTATATTGTTTGCTTTTTGTTTGTTTGTTTAAGATACTCAATAAAATTGGAAGATTAAATAGTGTGAGTCAAAATCATGATTTAAAAACAAAATCTGGGGAAACCATATTTTTAAAAAATTATTTTAGTTTAAAAAAAAAAAAAAAAGAATTTCAGTGCAATTTAACTACATCGGGGGTTATGAATTTTTATGGATAATATATATATTCTAAGTTATACCAACATTCTTTCTTTAAATTGGCTATAAAAATGATTTTATCAGCGCTCTCTTTAATTAAATCATTAAAGTTGATTCAGTTCATATAATGTGCAACAGACGAGCCTAAATTTGATTCAATAAATAAACACGAGAGATAAATTTCTTTTGTTGTCCCAAATTACATTTCCCTCATATTTTTTTTGAAAATCTTTAATCGTTCAAAATATAAAATATCACTGAACACTTTGATGTTGACAAAATCTTCCTAACGGTTTACAGAGCTTCGTCGAGCCATAGTAACTTAATGAGCCTTGGCAAGATATTACCGCAGAAAATATCGGAACTTGTTTTCAATTGATGCAAGCTTACCATCATCTTGCACTTCTTTTATTTTCTCCACAAAAACAAATCTATAATCTTTGGTTTATTTTACATATTAAAAAAAGAACATATGTTTGATTTAAAGCTTGGATTTTCATGACGAATGAATTATTGATTCCTATGTGATAGCATAATCTATTAATCATTTACTTAAAACGAGTTGATAACTTTTAAGTTAATTCAACTAAACATTCTAAATAATCCCTCCAAGGGCCAATTAATAAAATAGAAGAAATAAATATAACCGTTTTAGAATTTAAAAAACAGTTTGACGATAAAACGATTTATAAATAGGACGGAGGAATCTTATGGCGTGCGTTCTTTGGTTGATTTTGGGAGTGAAAAGACTCTAGGTAAATTAATGTTTGATAAAAAAAAAATTCTTTGGTCTCATATGATATTTGCTATATATTTACTTCAGTCTTTTTTTATATATATACATATATATATATATATATATATATATATATATATATATATATATATATATATATATATATATATATATATATACATGTACATTTTTTTTTTACCTTTTGACTGTTACCGGTACTTTGTATTGTATATATGTACCTCTTGTACCATACAGTGATATGATTCAAGGGGGAAAAAAATTAATTTAATAAAATTGAAAACTGGGTTTGTCATAGGAGAAACCCAAGAGAAAAAGAAGTCAATTGCATTCAATTTTATTCTCAAACTATATCTACTTCAAAATGATATGTTTTGAAAAATTTATATTTGAAATCAATTTTTTTTTTTTTAAAAAACTTTTCTCATACCAATACTAGTATATTAATTAAATTAACATATCCCCTACTTTTCAATATAAATATCTTGGAGGAAATTATCATTTTAGGAACAGTCCTTTCTAAATTTATAATTCTATTAAATATTCATATTTGTTTTTTTTTAAATTTTAAAAGATGTTTTAACAAGCAGCGGCTACGGAGGAAAAGATGGCATTGAAAACAAATCGATAGACGGATCTGGTTTTGCCCAAGAACACAGCTTTACAGATTAAATTGCAGAATACTTGGCTAGGGTCATACGAACCCACTGATAATATCATGTTATATAATGACATTACCGATTTTAATTTTTCATTATTCGGGATTAGTTGCGACGGGTGTCCCATTTCATGGGAGTAAGCTATATGCATATGAAACAATTTGTTTAATTTATTTTCAAAGTTTACGAGTTAAATCATTATGAATACACATGTCTGCATGCTATTGGTTCCAGTTCGGTAGAATTACCCCATAAATCATAATCTCCAAACTCGGCAACCTTCCTTTGTAATTTATATATCAACCTTTCATCTACCATTAGGATTGAGTACGATGAAACACGGCTTGCAATTATGTAAATCAGTTTTAGCAATACATAAAGATGAAATTGTAATACTCTCGTACTTAAAAGACATAAATCGGGACTTGAGGAAAATCGTCGGTAAAGACAGAATATCTCGCCTATTGTCACTCCTTGTTTGTGCCCTCTCTATCTATAATATCGCAACACAATCCTCTTGAAATATGAGCGGCCTTCGACGAATTACAAGGAATATAGCCATTTTTGAATTAATATCAAGATGAGTTCATTGTGAGAGGAATGAAGTCGTTTGTGTGAAACGACTCCTGTGTATAAGATAAAGGTCACGTGTCCAATCTATGCCCCCCTCTAACGACAATTTATTAGAAATATTACTGAATAAAGTTCATAGAAACCTTTCAATAAATAAAACCAATTCTTCTACATCGCTCAAGATTTATTTTTGCTCTTTTAAAAATAAAAATGGCAAAATGAAAAATTATTTCTTTTATGTTGCAAATCTGTCAAAATTATCACAGTTCTGCTAATTCTTGAGTATGAAAAAAATCTTGCTATGTCCGTTCTCTGTCGGCTTTTTTTCTAAATCCGTCAAATTGAATACACTTTGCATTTCAAATCTTTTTTCTTTAATTTGGAATACGTGATATAATCTGACTTATTCAGTCTAATACATATACTATTGAGACTGTAGTTCCAAGTATGAATAACTTAAATCCACTAGAAAATTAACACTGTGCCTTAAATATTTGTAAAAATTATTATTCAGTTTTATTTCTAAAATGGATCAGGCTCTTTTATCGGTATATCCACCTAGAACCGATTAATGAATGGCAATAAGATTATAATCTAGATACCGTTTAGCTGAAACAACAATTTATTTTTCTGTGTAACACCCCTTAGTCCGTACAAAGCTTTTGTCGGAGAATCAGGGGAATATTTTTCTTTTTATTTCGCATTCATCCCTTAATTCCATAAAATATTCTGATTCTGAAAAAGTCACCCCTCGACTAATCCAGTTTATGTAGTAATTATTGAATGTGTGTTTTTATATGGTTTTCTCGTATATTACTCAACACGTTAATCCTAAAATTAACACAACAAAATACGAACTCGGCGGGGTGTCCGCGCTTCTGCGCGGTAAACTCCCGTCGTGCTTTTAATTTTTGAGTATTTTTACCAAAAAGAAATAATTTTTACTCATTTTTTTTCAAATAGGAGATAAAAGATCTTCCGCTTTCATTTACAGCATAAGAAAATAAACTTTTCATCTGAACTTAAATTGTATCTTTTTAAAAAACAATTTGAAGACAATTTTTAATCTTATGAAAAAAATATTATTTTGTTATATGCATGTAAACTAAACAGATGACACCGGTACATTGATTGTATACAGGTGTCAAGCAGGAAAACCTTTTAAATGGTTAATTTTCTTATTCATGACAAGCCGCTGAACATTAAAAATGAAATGCTAAATAGTGATTTGAAAAATTACGCAAACATGCAAATGAGGTCTTTTCATATTTTCGACACCCTTGCTTTTTCTGAATTTCTGTATAGATTTATGCTGTAGTTAATTTTATAGAAGTTATCATCGCCAGGGATCGCTCAGTCGGGCTGGAGATAAGTGCATTATATATTTTATGAGCTTAAATCATTATCCATTTAGAGACCATTACACAAAGTCATTGATCTTCGCCGCTCAGATTGTCTGTATAGAGATAATTCGCGCCAATCTTGTTAAAGTTAATACCTAAAAACAACCGAACTAAACCGGGGAGTATTAATTGATTTAGTAAACAAAAAAGAAACAGAGCGTTGTTTCTTTTACTGATATTTACTTTTTTCTTAACAAAATCTGTAGAAAATACACTTTAATCTGTGATAAACCCATTACGGCCGGAGTAACCTTCGTCCCGAACAATAAAAGTGTGATGTTAAAAGACAGATCACAGGAGCCGATAATACAACATCTATTTGCTTTAAGTCAATCTCATTTATTCGGACCATTTTATGAAATATATCTTTAACAGGATCATCAAAGTAAGAACATCAATATTAATTACACAATACCTGGCAAATTAAGTCCCCGGCGCTTACATTTCAGCTTGCTGGCATTCTGTTTATTTCCATCAAAAATGGTAAAATTAATCAAAATTTAATATTTTTTTTATATCAATCATGTATAGAAATCGCATGTTTACCGACTTGATGAAAAAAATAATTCTCTCAGATTTCATTAAAATTTCATTCCTTTGTAAACCAATCCTCTATTAATTAATTATATTATAGTTTTAGAGAAAAATAGATGATTACTTAAATAAACTTTCAGTCCGTAAAGATATCTTGGGAGAACTATGCGCGGAAAATTACGATTAAATTTAATATTTAAAATGTCCATTAACTAGTATTCGGATGAGCATCTGTGTGTCGGAAGACTGTTAGTCTTATTTAACATACAGTGTCAAAAATGAGAGTTTTAAAATTCGATTAAAGCTATCCTATAATTAGAGATGGGCAGGACAATACGCATATTCCGCGTGTTTGGTGTTTCGATTATTGAATGTGACACCCACTTAAAGCGCTAGTGCTTCTCATGTAAGGGAGATGTCGCGAGGTGGCTACTTTGTGTCCATCCCTGCCAGACCGAGGTCCAAAATCAACTGTTAGCCTTTACAATTGTTAATTGAAAATGGAGTGACCATAATTTGTCCCATAACAGGTACGAGTCAGAACTTATCAGATTTAGTCAAATAAAGTAAATATAAACCACTTAAAGTCACATTTGTGTGAATAAAGGAGGCATCCTTTTCATTTGAATCATCTCTCGTCTTTTCAAGTCGGTTACTGTACTTGTTAGCACATCTTCACGCCACAACCCGTGATGAGACTTTAATATTTTGGAAGTGGTACGACAAAAATTTACAGCTCTCTTGTCAACTTTCAACTCACAACTAAATTGAAGTAGTATATAAAAGTATGTCATAGCTTTGCATATAGGAAAAGTTACAGATATTTCTCTCTGTCCCTCTCTCACCATGTTAATGTATTTTTGTATGAAGTAATATAAATCGAAAATTATTTTTTTCCTTCCTTGGATACATTGACAGTTTACGATTGAAATTCGATTGTTACTATTTCGTGAATACATATATTCTATGGCACATTTTTCCCCCTTTTGCTTCGTGGTTTTGAAAATAGCAGTAGCATGTACCGTAGTTGTTTCAAAATTATTATTTTTATTTAGATATATATATCTATACAAGGGAGTATAATAAATTAATAAATAAGAACAGAATAATTTTTCAGTTATGTAAAAAACTTTTCTCGTTTAGATTATTAAAAGAATAATCTGGTTGAAATCTAAAATATTTAATATCTTTAATTTCTTTTTTTTAATTTTCAATATGGAAATCCATAAATATTTTGAGATTCAATTATTATTAACTTAAATAATTCATAGACTTTTCATTAAAAAAAATCTGTTTTAAAAATTTTCTCTATAGCTGTTCCCATTCTTATTATAATTTTGGAATGTAGAAAATGTCTGCAACTCAACTTTTATAATGAAAGAAAATATATACTAGTATGCAAAACAAATCTTGACTCTGAATATCACTATGGTCGAATGATTTGTAATATTTCATGAATATTTACATATTACTGCTTAATTATGTGTCCAAATAACTGTTGCAAAGACGATCTTCTAATTTGTGGTCTTAGACATTTGTTTATATAAATAACAGTTAATATAAAATTAATTCATTTATTGAAAACAAAAAATAGTTCAGCAAATACCAGTGCATCTACTAACAATTTCTTATATAGGTTAATCAAAAAATTAATTTTGTTAATTTATATAAATCATGGACTTACCAAAGAGATCTTGAGGTGAGTGCGGAAGCCCCGGGTATGGGAAGTATGGGGAGGGTCTGTGTGTGAGGTAGGGCCGTGGGGCCAGGATATTGTCGATGGTGAAGAGTGGGGGACTGGAGCTAGCGGCCGCCAGCATGCTGTTATGGTATGACTTGAGCTGCTCCGAGGAGTAATAGTACGGGAGGTGATGCATCTTCACAGATCTGAGAAGGTCTTGGAATGTACCGTCAATTTAAAAACACTTCTGATTGTAAATATACCAAAAACAGGAACAAAGCAATCACAGCGTTAGAAACATCTCTGCGGTAAAATATACCAAGAGTCCGTAGTATCAGAGATCCTTTTATTTCCTTCAGATTTTTGTTGTTTTATCAATATAATATATAGATATATAGTAAATAAAGTCCAGTGGTTTTGCAACGGTGCGCGATACGTTCAAGTGACAACTGTTTACACAAATGTTTTATCAAAAAGTTAGAATCCTTAGCAGTATCTAAGTTAAAAAGATACCCTGTCGTATTGTTGTTCAAGGATAAAGTATCTATATTTTCAAAAACTTTAACTTTTATTTTCTTTATTGTCATAGGTAATCGGTAATTCTAGTCCAAATCTTCTATTGCTTTTGTTCCTTGACCTTGATTGACAGCTCTGCGAACCAATCAAAAACCAACGACATCATCTTCACGCCATGTTATTTCTACGCCCTTCTGATTATCGACAAAAATTAAAGTGTATGCTTTCATATGAACATTTAAGCTTAAGGCGTTTACAAATTTTTAACACTTTGCACTGGTAGATTCCGTTTGTTTTACGAGCTTTACCTAGAGGTTTCTAGCGCGATAATTTGGATGCTTGCGTCAGAGACGGTCGGTTAAAGGAAGCTGCGGTACATGTCGAGTGAAACCGTAGAAAAAACCATTTTAATGAAAAAATATTTTTTTTACCTTTTACTAAAAATGAAGTTAATTTCATATCCATTTCTTCTGTCCATACATTTGCGACAGGTGGTTAAAACATATCTTTCGTTTATAAACATCTGTATTTGGCTTTTTGTAGATTTTTATCAGTTAAAATGGGTGTTAAAAACAACCTTCCAATATTTACATAAAATAGAGATTAGAATGTACAAAATAAAATGATGGCTGCACACTTTGTACTCAATTATGATTCTTTCCTGATGTATTTCTAGCAATTTTTCTGTTGTCATTGCGGTAGATATCTTCAAACTTATGTATGGCGAAAAGGAGGATGAGGAATCAAGATTGGGATAGAACCAGATAACCAAAACGACCAAAAAAAAAATCTCAGGCGAGCTAATTTATATTTAATCGCCCATCACATTTATGTGTTCCAGTGAATTAGTTTTCTTTTCACATTTTTCTCCAAATTATATTTTATAGTAAATAATTTTTAGGGAGTAAATGCGCTGTCTTTGTCGAGTTATCTCTTGACATCACGCTCGAACAATTTTCATCGTAATTATAGATTAAATCACATCGCCAAAATCTGCCGAATTCTAAAATTTTCTTATTTTTACATTGTCACCACAGCCGATGATGCTGATTTTCTTTTTTTATGGCAGAGATCGAAAAAGATCAAACAAAGTCAATTTACTGTGAAGAAATATTCAAATGCTGTCAATTAAATTTTTTTCATTCTTACTGTATGCATGTCTGAGGACTATGCATGACATTGAAAACAAATACAATTATAAATATATAATCTGCATACTTTAAAAATTCCAGATATAAATCAAGGATAATCTCTCACTTTTTCTTTCTCTAAACTACTGTAGTTTACGGATTTTTATTGGAAAAAGAAATAAATGTAATCTTGTAATAAAGACTATACATTTACAGACATAAGTATCAAAATTTTATAACACACTCGTAAACTTTAAAAATATATGTGATAACATTTACATACTGATATGTGTCAAAATGGACATTACATTGATTCGAGATACAATTTTACTTGTTATTTTCGATTATATTTATTGCAGAAATCGGGTCGCATAATTTCACTGACTCCCTAGCTGGAATTAGCAAGTAACATTTTGATCATTCTGTAAAATTTCTGTGAAATATGCACTTTTTAAAAGGGTTTACAGTTGTTTTATCACACTTTTATACGAGAAAAGGGAACAAAAGTTTTTTGTTCAATAAGTGGAACTTTTAAATCGATTAAAATCAAGTGAACATAAAATGCAAAAATTTTTACTCTTTTTATCCCTCCCCTTTTCTGAGAATGGAAACTTATAATATATATTTTGTGTATTTGATTCACCCATGGTTCAAATCATAAAAGATTTTAACTATAACCGTTTTGAAATTTGGATATAAGCTCCTAAAACAATTCAAATGTTTCGATTAAGTATGTAAACCCGTACAAAGTTCTTTCTTAAAGAAAAAAAATCTACTTTTTTTCAGAACACACTCACAGGAGAAAAATGTCTTAATCATAGATCCATTTGTATTACAATCATAATTTTGATAACAATCAAACCCAAGGGGCGAAAATAAGTCATCAAAAATTGTCATATCTGTCTCTAAAACAATATTGTCCCTTCACTAATATTTCTCCGCCTGAAAGCAGTGATGCAGTCCGGTTCACAAAGATAATATCACCAACGAGAGTATTGTACAAGACACGACATGAGAAAACTCGTGTACCTCTGGTGTCAAGACAATCAGACATGTATATTATCTCTCTCTGCAAAAACAAATTGGTGAAACAAATTTTAAATGATAATCTTCATTTTTCATCTTCACCCCGCAGGCCGAACTCAAGTATTTTGCAGTTATAAGCATATTGTACATTCTATAGAAAATTCTTTTTCACCTGCCATATATGAGGAATGTCATTGATGCATCTGTAGTTTAAACGGTATTTTTGATGAAAATGCAAAACAATTGCCGATTTGCAGACTCCGATATTTATATTCATTTGGATTATTTATCTATCCATTTAAATAAAATTTCAACCATTCCTCATAAAAATCAAATTCACCCTATTTTAAAAATGATATGTTAGAATTAGAAATTTCACGAAATTTATTAATAAGTATAAAGCTTGTGAAAAAATATAACTGTTTGTGTAAGATTAAAACTTGATTTGACATGGACAATGTTTCAACAACACTTATTTACTAAGTTTAGGGGTAATAAAAGCCGGATTTACAAGTAAATTTCACATCTTATCGATTTCACAACTCTTAATATCAGTAATTTTACCAAAACAAACAGTGATGAACCGTTTCAATTCAGTAGTTAATTGCTTGTTTCACACATACAAGAGTCAACAAAGGCTTATTTAGATTCTTCAGGTGTCATTCTGTAGAAAGTGGACATCGCCTCGATTTCGATACCCCTCTTCCGGTCGCCATGACAATGTGCCATAATTACAAGACGAGAGCACACTTCATCACGCATGTGTGAAAGGATTACTACAACTTTACTAGAAGGAAGGTGATTTCTTTAAATGGAATCACTAACAGGGTTGCGCAAGATGTTTGTTTTTGTATAGTATCCCTTTCATAGAATTTGCAAGACTAATGGACACCAAAGTCAACATAAACTTTTCTAGACTAAATCATGTCTTTCCAATGGACAGTGTTTATTTAAGGATTTTGGTCTCATTTATTTACAATAAAGACTCAAAGCCGACCATAAAGAAGAGGTTTACTCAAAGAATAACCGATAATCCGCTATTTTCAAAAGAATTTAGGGTACCATGTGAATAAATTATTTTCTATCCATTATATTGACTAAAATGTTTGCTCTAAGCACTGGATTTTCGGCCAATGTGGCCAAACAAATAATTCAGCACAGGTTGTGTGTGAATGGAGAAACAATCGTCCTTGCTAAGTGAGAGGTCGCACTTTGAAAACATGTTTGTTTTCCTTAAATGCTTTGAATAATAAAGAAATGGGGATGTAAAAAGTCAAGACAGTTCTTTTGTCAGTGTTCCAATGTTCTGATTTGTCGAGTACACATTAATTCTCCTGCAACATGGGAGAAAGAATACTTATTTGTACAGAAATGCTCTTGATAAAATTAATAGCATTATAACTACATGTACTTGTATTTGACAATTGTACAAATGACCAAACAAGCAACAAACTCAATTAATTAATTCATCTACAGCGAGAATATTCACTACATACAGGGGGGTATGTACTAGTGGTCGTACAGTGGATTTGATTATTTATTAGTTTCTTGAGTGCATATCTTTGTTAAATATTGATTTAATTGAAGAGATAAAAAATTAGGTTATCATGAATGATACGTGTATTTTTTTTATGCATTAATTAACTTTTTGATTGAGTGATCATGGTAAGTATATAATGCATTTCATTTAATTTTGAAAGTTTATTTCACTTATTTTTTTCTAAATGTCTGATCAAAGAAAAATAAAATACAAACTACCGAAAATATTGAGTTTGTAAATGTTAAATTACATCCTCTTCTACTTACTGCGTAATTTTAATGTATAAAAAAGGACAAGGTCAGGTTACGGGTTACACACCCTCACTGCACTCTTCTGTTCATTCATAAAATTTTACCCGAAGTAAACTTCATACGTTACTCTAATGGATCGTTTATACATTGTACTTGTAAAATACAATCTTTGTACTTCACTTATTGCTATATAAAATCTGACCTTTAGCACTCATTTAATACTAGCTTCATAAAATAGAACGAATTATAACCTTAATATGTGTTCAGATAGGAACTACAATAGATAAAGAGTATGCATGTACCCTAACGCGCATCAGTATCAATATGCGCATCAATGAGTGAGATACATTTTTCTCCACCCCTCACCCCCCCCCCACCCACACACACTCGCTGATAAAATAAAATATTTAATTAAAAACGACATCTAAAGACAGCTTTTCTTCAAATTATTTGTAAAAGATACAACTTGCGTTATTGACAGAATATTTAAAAAAACTTTAAAAAAAAATTAAAATTAGTTTTGATCAAATAAAACACATTGACACTTGCAGCATCCGTTAACATTACATAGAGAATTTTCCGTCATTTGATTGTGGCAGTGAATCACGAAATATCACCCACGGGCTGCAATTGTGGCGTACGCCATATTACTGGCATTGGTTAATCGGTATTGTCTGCGTAATGGAAAAAGGTTACCGTGCAAATCCAGGTTTAGGTGAAAACGTTTTGGGTGTGAAAAAAGACACGGTTTCGACTAAGTCTGAAATAGTCGTCTTGATATATCTCTTTTTTCAACCAGTACACATTTGTCTCTAAGACAATTTCATTGTGGTACACCAACAATTTCATTGCAGTGCATCTTCAACGATACTACATACTAGGCACTTCTTCGATTAACTCATCGTAAATGGGACAGTCTGCGCAGAAAAAGAAGGACTTGGTGATATTCAACATTGTAAGAAAGTCGACCAATCATATCTAACGTTCTCCCTAATTACAACATCATCTAAAAACGATTTTATAATAAATTCATGAAAACCTTGTTATCGCGTGCTTTCT